GAATGGTTGAATGGAAATTTGCATATTAAAATAAAAGCTTAAAATTAAGGGCCTAAGCCCAAGCTTAAGATTCACAAAAAATTCATATTTGACTGAAAAATTTATAAAGGAAAGTGGTTAGAAAAAAGTGTGGTAAATCTTGCATACAGAATAGTATCTAAATTAGTCTTGAAAGTAAAGAAAATTTCCAGGTTCTGATTTGTATATTATATTTAATTAACGATGAGACTTATTTTTCTCATTAGACTAAAATTTAATCAAATTCCCTCCACCAAATATGCTTGCCCTGCTTTTTCATTGCTTTCTAGGGTAAATGGTTAATAAGTGGCTAGAGAGTTATGTTGGCTTCACTGGTTGCCAGAATGAATGTTTTTTTGGCAGACCGATTGCACAGATGGAAATGCAGGTGGATATCTTCCACAACCTAAATTTTCTTAATAGGTTTATTGGGCCGAATCAAGCTCGAGATCAATGCAAGAACCATTCGATAATATTCTACTCCTCGACAATTTAAAATGGTATGTTTTGCTAAATTATTCAAGTTTTGATTATGAAAAAGCTGACTATTTATATATTCGTGAAAAATGGTTCGCTTCAAATATTCGCCTGAATTCGCATATTCTTTTGTGCAAACGGATTATAATTTCTTGAATGGTTAATTGTTGACTATGAATGCTTGCAATATTTTTTTTCTGTATGTCTAAATCAGGGAACCATTCCAAGTCCGCTTAACGAGTGTTTTTGATTTTTTTTATTCCTTTTTTGCAACAAACGGAAGAAAGCGGAGAATTTGATCTCTAGGACTGATGTTTTCTGCATGATGGATTATCTCAAGCCTTTATAATCATTATAATCACAATAAGTGAAAATTTTCAGAGATGTCTGAAGTTGCTACAAGTTTAAATCATCATTTGATCATCTAAATTTCTTGAATTTTTTATATCTCAAATTAAAGCTTTATATTTCTATAAAAAATTTGTCCCTTAAATATCGCACTAAGAGATTAAATGAGAATTTTATTGCATCCATTTCAACAAACTTTTGGACAATTATTTATTTTATTAAAAATGCTTTCCGTTCTACCTCTCTTTATCAGAAGTTTTTCATTAGCTCAGGAGGTTAGCCTCAGCATTCATTTGGTTAGGATTCTTCTCCTGTATATTGATAGCACAGCTAATACGGTTAAATTTACTGGTGGGTCGCTTATTGATATAAAAGGAGATCAGCAGGACCACTCAACAAATGTTGATAATGTGGTGGAATTTCTTCACAATCTTCCAATTTTTTGTCATTTTTTACTGTTAAAAATTCTTGAATTAATCTAAAACCTATCTAAAATCTAAAAGAAATACATTTCTGAATCCGCGTCATGGTACTCTACTTTTTATTACTTTTGAATCAAGCAATTTTAACTTTTAGTTTTAAAACGTTCAATTTCCATCAAAAAGTGACTGAAAAACAACGAAAAAAGCCAATTATTGGCTTATTTTCAAATAACCGCTTATCATCATTGATTAGAAATAGCATGTTTGAACGATTGATTGGGTGGTTGAAAATATATATTTTCCATCGTTCATCTATGAACTATAGAAAATTCGTTATTACGCTATTTTTAAATCTCTAGTGCTTCACTTTATCTAAAAAATATCTAAAGTTAATGAAAAAATTAAGCCGAATCGACAGGTTCAAGTTTCTCCGATTGCCATTAATTTAATTAACTTTAGCAAAAATTTTATTGTCAATATAAAATTTATGGAATTTAAGCAAACATCATGGAATTATCATAATTCCCTAGAAATGTTTTACAGCCGACCCAAATATAGGATGTGAAATTTTAAATAGAATGTGAAAATATGGCTACTTAAAGAAAAGAGAAAAAAATATAGGCGAGTCACTGCATGTATATATTACAGGGTTCTTTTTTATTGAGAGGCTTACTGCTGCGACAGGGCCTAAACCTTGGTACTAGAGGCAGTAAGTCGTTTCCTTAGTTTCCTTACATTTTTAAACATATATATGTAAGTAAAAATATAAATGTATATAAGTGGAGTGTTTGGAGTGTTAAGTAATCAGTGAATTGAACATTACCATTAATCAGGTAATTTAATAATGATCGTGTTGGCATGTAGAGGCAGAGCAGTTAGAAACCAGGATAATTTCGCTTTCAAAAATCCAGGTAAATCTGCAAGAAATTCATGCATTCATATTTTTTGGCCAATTTCTTGAATTGTGAATTTGCTCATCAAGAGAAACTCGGTTTTTATCTCTTCTATTTGCTGTCATATCGCTCTACTATTCCTATTACTTCTTTAATGTGATTATGAATCTGCTAATAGCTAATGCATCATTATATTTACCAAATCAATTTTGCTTTAGCAATTCAATTAAATTTCTACTTGTAATATTATGTCTAATTGAATTCCTGTTACAGCTGATGAATAATTTAGAATTTAATCTATAAGTGATTAGTAATGCACTGACAATTTTATGGTGACTGTTTCTACCAAAAAAAAGATTGTTCATTCCAATATTTTATTTTCATTACTTTATTGCCAGTTACAAATTACTTGTTTTGTTCTAATTGAGAGATTTTTATTTATGCCAACACGATAATTTAAATCACTATTCACTGATATAATTCCCCTATAATTTATAATTTAAAAATACCTGATTGAACTGATTTCGCTAGAAAGTGACCTTTTTTTCAGAGTCTTATCAGGGTTACATTCTGCAAGTCTTAAAAATCCGGTTTATTTTTGGTTTAATTCATTTTATAATTTATTAATTTCAAGCGATTTGATTATTCAGCCGTGTCCATTGACTAGTCTTGTGTAAAAGAAATTTAAAAGGAAAAAAAAACTAAAGAGATAAGTGCTTCGAAATGCCTTTTTTTAAATCCATCTGCTTATTATTATTCTGTTGAAAAATGATATTTTTGCAGATTATTTTAAACATCCTAAATTTTACTTCGAATTTTCTATGGAAAAATTTTGAATGCTTTTTTATTATTCATTATCCAAATTATCCATTCATTATTCGTTTTTTTTTATCATCCAAACCTAATAAATTGCACAGAGCAACTTTTGATGAAATTTTTTTTTCACTTCCCTCTCATGATTTCATAGATTTCACATTTTGCTTTCGAATAAAAATATTAAATTTTTATTCACCTCATTCAAGCATTCTCCCTACGGACAGGAAGAATTTTTTTTTAAAAAACAGGCAAATGTGTTCACTGTTTAGATCAAATATATATGCAGAAATCTTCTAGCATTAAAGATAGTAAAATCATTCACAGTTAAAATCTCCGCGCATTCCATTTCTTTTCACCTGTTATCATCTTCAAACCCTGCTCATTACCTCATCACCATCATCTTTAATACCTTAAGTCTTGCTGTATTTCTTTAACATATTTTCGGAATTTGTTACATTTTTTTCCCTCGAAATCAAATTCCCTATAAGATTTGACTGATAAATTCTATTTATACTCTCTCCATATCAAAATTCGCTGTCGTGTAGAAAGAAAAGTTACCACAATCTAAACTGCAATTTGAGAAACCACTATCGACAACATTGAGAATAAAGTATAAGACTGTTGTAACAAGAAGTGACAAGAAAAAAATAAAAAATCTTTTATGGAAAAATAAGAAATCATAAATAAAAAAAGCAAAAAGAAATTTTAAAGCGCTTTAATGGGACTTTGAAGAGTCAGGAGAGTGACAATTGGTTTTAAAGAGCTCTAATATTTAAAGGAATATAAAGAGCAGTACGATGGAGCTTAAGTAGCATTATCAACATGGACGAAATAGATTAAAAGCACGATGTTTTATTGCAGGGAAGAATTGGTAAAGAGGTAACTGGATTTTAGGGAGAACGACTTAAATGAGTAGAAAAGTAGTAACTTGAGAGCAAAAATGGAATAAAATGTTTTAAGATGCACCAACTAGGTCTGAGGAGGTTAATGATACAAGGAAATTTAAGAGGGCATTACCAATGAATTGCAGTGCAACATAGCTTGAAAATGGCTCTGAAAGGAAATTCCCGGCTATTAAAGGTACAAACACTTTTACAAAAGATTTAGAATATTTATAAGAACATAAGATTTGAGGATGTTTCGCTCAAAATATAATGGGTTTTGTGGATTTCAAAGTGCTGCCTTTCGCGAATCACTGAGATTTCATATTTTAAGAATACTATAACTATACTATAACTCTACTTTTCCTGACACATCGATGCATAAATCTTAACATATAAACGGCTAAAACTATGGCTGTTAGGGATTAACTTATTGATAACACGTATTGATCGGTTAACTGACAAATGTAATTGAGTAATTTTGCGATGAGCTGCAACTAAAAACTGGTCTCGGTACGCTAGTTGTTTTGTAATGACATTTATTTTTCAGTGCATCGTTGTTTCAAAAATATTTTCTCAATAATCGGCTTTCAGTCGAATGTTTATGTTCAGTGGACCCAATAATAACAAACCCAGTTTGAGTAGTGAAACCATTATTTTTCATCCCTTTTAATCGTATCTTTTTTGTAGGATTTTGGAATGGTTCAAGCAGCAGCTAAACGATTGCTCAAAGATCTCAGTTTTCAGTATGTTTTCTTTATTTTTTTCAATTTAATGATTTTTTTTCCCATAAAAACTCAAATTTGTTTCATAATTTACAATTTTATACGAAAGTATTTCTTTCTTTGAGTGGTCGAATTGCAAACTGAAGGCGAAAAACCTCGAATTCGGCCCCTTTTTCATCGTTTTTTTTTTCCTTTAGCAGATTTGTTTTACTACTTTTATTCCATTTTTGATTCGCGCAAATTTTTACACTATTCTGCTATTTTAAAAAACAAAAGCTTTTCATGCAGTAGAGCCTTTACATATTTTTTTTCTAAACATTTTTATTTGCCTAATTGTAATTTGATCTTTTCACAAAATGGCCATTTAGCGATGGAAGCACAAGTGGATCTCACAGGACATCAGGAATTTCAATCTTAATTATAGGTTTCATCTTGTCAAAGGACAAGAATCGAACCTCTGATTTCTGGCCTGAGCTATATAACACTCCCGCCTTTGGGGTTATTTTACCTCATTTAGGTTTAATCGCTGAAGACAATCAAAATATAAATCCTTACAAATTAAAACTAGTATTTATTCGCCTATATGTGCATAATTTTTGGCGAAATTCCTTAACCTTTTCCAATTTATTTTCTGACGAGATTATTTTAACTTCTTCTGCTGCTCATACTTTCAATTTTCAAAAATCCTTTTTCTTTTTCATCTCATCTATTACTTTCGACGATCTAATAATATTAGTATCATTTAGTTAATTTAAACCATTATTGAAACTGATAAAAAATCATTAATACCAATTATTTTTTCCGATTGTCATCATTCAAACATTAAAAGTAAATTTTGTAACTTTTTGCTTAGTGGAACAGTAAGTTTTTTTAGCAATTTAGTTTTTTTTTAACTTACTTACCATATATAAATATGGTATAATTGATTGACAAGAATAATTGGTCCAAAATTTATCGTAGAGCGATAGCAAACATGGAATTACAATCTTTTGAAGCCTATTTGGACATGATGATTGATCAAATCAACGAAGAATCATGCAATCTTATAATCGAACAACCGCGATATGCTCATGCTGTGCTCGTATTGGCCAACAATGATGAACCCGGAGAGCTTATGGCGGTGAACCAATTTTCCTTATTCTAACAGCATTCTTCACCATTCCTGGTTCAGTATGCTTTACTGCTGAAATCTTAGAGGATCATAGAAGTGCAGATGGGGTCCTCAATGCAACTTAGCAAACAACATATATCATTTTATTATTAAATTTGTTAGAGTCTCTAAAAAATTAAATTTTTTTAAATTTTTTTTTAAAAATATTATTAGATTAGATCATTAAAAAATGAGCCATCTTCTAATAAAGATTTCAAAGATTGCGTTTATCATCGAGTGGAACATTGGCAAAAAATTTTTACATAGTTCCCGTTGTTTTGCACGTGAATCACCATAAAACTACTATTAAATTAACATTATGGTGCCATTATCGACACACTTTGCAAAATTATCAATATATCTCTATAATTGTAGTTCCACTAATCAGCATTTTCTAAATATCTTAGTTAATTAATCAGTGAATGGAAAATTTATATCCAGCAATTATTTAATCAAAATGCATCAAAGAATTAAAAAATCAAACACCATCAAATTCAGCAAATTTGAAAATTTATGGTCAACTTACTATGATTGACAAGTCAAAATACTTCCATTTATATCCTTTGACTGATTCTTCGCTTTCATATCAAAAGCGATTTTGATGCAATCATTTTTACTAATCAATTTATATCAGAATTGTTTGGATTTTGTAAAATGAAGCGATAAAAAATTGGCCATTCACGTCAGTCTTATAAGTGAAAATTGTATAGATAAATTCTAGATAGATTTTGAGCGATTTCGCGAGATTTTGAATATGCGAGAAATAATTGTTTTCATCTTTTTACAAATTATTGTTCCTTTCTTTAGGCTTCTCGTATCAAGGTTTTTGATGCGAATTTCTTTTCTCAGTCATCAAAGGATTACAAAAGCGATTCTGTTCAGTTTCTTTCCTCTCAGTAAGTGCAGAACTTAAAAAAATGATAGATATGATAGATAATAATAGTATTTATTTGTTTTACAATTTTATATTTAAATATGATTCAATATTTTAGCCATAAAGTAGAAACTGAAAGAGGTGAATTGCGAAATAGCTGCAGTTATGGCACTGGTGTTGATGATGAAATCAAAAGAGCTTTAAAAAAATTGGAGGAATCCAGGAGATCACTTGATGAGCCGCTAGATCTGAAAAACGAGGTAATAATTTTTTTATTAGAAAGGAAATTTCATTTCTGCGCTCTTAAACAATCATTACCGCTTCCATCGCTAGATAGAGTACTGTTCGTCTGAAACTGAACTTGGGAAATAGATGGACAGGAGATAGTATATGACCATGGCGTTAGATGAGACATTTATAGCAGATTTTTATCTGAATTCATTCAAAAGATCAAGCGGGCGGATGCTTATGTACTAGCATGAACAAAGAACATAATAAGAACAATACAATATTTACAAAATGGTACTGAACCAATACAACAAAAAAGAAAAATGAAGCACACTAATCATATTGATGGGAATGGATAATGGGAATGGGTGTTAAATAATATCTTAGACGATTCTGTTTATAACATTTTTAAAGCTGGATAATTATGGTGCAGTTTGTTTCAGCGATTAATGCCACGAGTGAAAAGACTTACAAACTGCTTGCCATATCTTCATAAAATCCATAACATCTAATATTTTTCAGTCAAAAGAGAATTTTAAAGAGAATTTAGAATCTAGATCAACAGAACCGAACAAATTTTACAAGTATAAATCTTGTTTAATTTCAATGATGAATTCAAATCATACAACATCATATAACTAAGATCTGGATCTAAGTGGCGCGAAATATGTGATCTCATTTAATCTGATTAGCTTATTAAATCTTGGCTGTATTCTAAACAGGGCGATGAGAATGCCTTTTACATATTGATGAAAAAAGCTATTGACTTATTCCGAAAAACTTTAAGCAAGTAAAATTTTAGATGAATATGACGAAAAAAGATTTATCATTTTCGTTTTCCCTTCCATTTTCCTCGCTAAAAGAAAGTAATCATCGATTTATACCTCACACTTGGATAACTCAACCTTTATCCAGACGCATTAATAGTATGCAATATAGAATTCGATTTGGATTAGAGTAGCCAGTAAAAATAAATTTCAATAAATTTTAGAAGTAACAGTTACAACGAATGATAAAAATGACGAAGCTATTGGCTAATGAGTGTTGTCGATTTATTCTTCAAACCAAAATTATTTTTATTTATAGTCGATCTATCTGAAGTTAGTTGTGAGATTGGAATTCTGCTCATATTTGACTAAAACTAACTAGAGATCAAAAAAATTAATCATTTAAAGGTTTTACTAAAACATTTAAATTAAGATTCAGAACATAAATTAAAAATAGTTGGTCCGTTTAATTCGCAGGCCATCTATTCGTACTATTCAGATCAGTTTTGTAATGGTGAGAAATCATCCGATGACTCATTTGCATAATAAACTTTACAGTCTTCAGCTCACTTTGATAGTTTCGTTGGCGATTAAGACGCAAACTTCCTAATTTGATACCATGCCTGAAAATAATGAAGCCAATCATTTTTTCACCATCTAAGCCCATATATCACTGGGCTGCTTGTGCATTCACAATCTCCTTTGATCGTATCAGTCCAGGACTTGTACGCTTCACTTTTGGCGCCATTCATCACAAGGCTTAGTAAATAATGAGATTTGCGAAATTCGTGTAATGAGCGATGAAGAACATGGCATAGTTCATTTCCTGGTGTGTAGGGTGTTCCTAAGTAAAGATAGATTTCTAATGTCTTCCACTGACCTTGTGTCACAGTCGTATATTATGATTGCATATACTATATATCAAAATATATGCGAGTTTTCATTTTGAGGCCTAAGTCGGAAAAACCAAAATAATAAGTGTTTTCTCATGCTTAAAATCATAAATAAGATTAAATGCAATATTTTTGAATGAATTTCCCTTGACAATACTGTCGATTTGTGAAGAAATTATTATGAATTAAAATTTCTTTACACATTCCTTATAAAAAACGAAAAGGAATGCTTCCGAAGAGCAGTCAGTGTGTTTATTTGGTCAGTTTTGTTATTTGGTCGGTGAGTTTATCAGTTAGTCAGTTAGTGAGTCAGTTTCTACAATATGTCCTTCGTAATTCGTAATTCTACCTTTCAATTCGTTATAATAATTAATATTGTACATCTTACTATTATATTGGTATCTGGGCACTAATAAAAGCTGTATATTCCAAGTCTAATTCGTGGAACCATCGACGAGTACGCTAGTCACATCTTTCAAAAATTTTAGTTTTTTTTTCTTCATTCTGAATTAGCAAAACTTTTCACGACAGCCTATATCGCTACATTTCTAAAAGGATTCCATTAGACAAAAGGAGACACTTCTTACTGCAGTTAACCGAATTAAGATTATACTTTGGTGTCGTAGTGGATTGAAGGCAATATTCCGCCATCGTTACTGGCGTACCGTCTATGGTAGTCTAATTTTATACGTCTGTTTGTAATTCAACAAAAAGGAGCGTGCATATAAAGCATACTTTTATCTAACATTTATATAACTTCCTTGATTTAGTAGTTCTCTCAGTTCTCAGCTCAAGGTTTTACACTGCTAATCTCACTATTATACATTTCCAGATTCGATTTGCATATTTACCGTCTGTGCCACTAAGTTAGAAATACCATTCAAAATTTGCAGTTTAAGAATTTCTGTTCCTTTTGCCACAGAGTTTCTTGGATAGAGAGGTGGGTACTCAGTAATCATTTAGCAGTTTGAACAATTTTCAATCAATTATCTTGTTGAATCATTATTCAGGTCAAAGTTGAAATATTTAAATATTTACTGCAGTCAATTTTGACAAATTCAAAAATCTTATTAGTCTAACTAAAGGAAACCGAGATTTTCTAATTATTGTATTATTCTAATCTAAACTCGAACTGGCCAAAAACTATTTTAAATGCCATAAGAAATATTTCTTAAATATTTTAAACTCTCAATTAGCTTGATGGACTTTTTGAATTTAGATTAGTAACATACCGTACTATACATTTTTTAAATGATACATTACGAATATTTTGCATATTTTTATAATGAAAGCTTAAATTTATTTCCAAGCGACCTAAGTAATAGGTTTAGGACTTTAGATTTTTATCACTATTCTAAAGATCGGAGTCAATATGTTTTCATAGGTTTTTACAGCTGTTCCAAACTCTGAGGCGTAATTTAAGTGTGCAAGAGCAGTATTGTCAGAATGCTATTGAAGAATGG